ACAAGCAGGTCCACTTGTTCCAGACACAGCTCAGTGCTGCCTCGCCAGAGCCCCGACGTCTGGGTTAGGGTGTCACCCACCCTACTGCACCCACGCTGGTTTAAACCGCAGCTGAGATCTCACCTCTCCTTACGCCTCTGTACGCCTTCCGTGCTAATGAAAAGCTCAGTGAAGACAGAGCCTATCATCGGCCCCGTATTTAAAAAACATGTTGAATGTCTATCTACTTAAATGCACGAATAAACAAGAGGATGAGCCAATGGTCTCCTGTTCTCCGCCGCCCCCAGCTAAATGAATGCAACTCCCCCTTCCAAAGTCACCTCCCTGAGCAGACTAGACTTCTAGCTCCTGAAGAATAAAATGCAGTGTCTGCTCTTCTGTCCTCCGCCGTGACTGCCACAGTCTCCCCGCTGCAGACTCATTTATTCAGATACCGAAACAGTACAAGGTCAGCACCGTCTCCAGCCCAGTATCACCCCAGCTGGGGATGGAGGCCGCTTCATCAGATGGGCAACAGCTGCCCGCCACGCTGCCTCTCAGTGAATAGCAACACCAGCCAAGGTCCCACAAGTCACAAAAGAGCACGGCAGACCTGCGCACACAATGGGGTTATTCTGTCTCCACCGTGAAAGCATCACTCTTTCTGCTTGCTCCCATGTCCTGTCCCCCTGCTGCATGAGAGAGCAACTTTAAATCAGTATGTACATGTGTACCGAGTGCCTGAATATGCCACTATCCAGCGCACAAGGAATACAGCATTGAAGAAAACAGACAAAATCCCAGTCTTTATGGGATATAAATTCTTCTACAGCTAGGAGAAATGAATGTAAATCTCCAAATCTGTTTCTTCTAAAAGATAAATCCCAGTCAAATGATAACATGGACATGAACTGCTTTTTCCCAAATAAACAAAGAATACGGTCTTGGCATAAAACCTGGAGACCAGTTTCTCCCACTTACCTCAGCGGCCTAGTGTCCCATATTCCACATGGAGTAGGGCAATTATCCGTCCTTGACACAGCCCTTCTGTCTAGCAGTCCCCGGCCACATGGACTGTAGAGGTTCACGTGGACTCGTACTCGTCATCCACCCTTTCTACAGGAGTGATCGTCCACGCCCTTCAGTGTGGCTCAGCAGCCCCTTCCCCTAAGAGACGGGCCATTCGCCTTGAAACCGGTCCAGCTCCAATGGCCAAGCCTGTGCTCTCATGATGAAGGATGAAAAGAAAGGAACACAGAGCAGCTGTCTTCGGCCACAGGACTGCAGACGCCCCTCCGGCCACCGGAGAACCGAGGCTGCGCCCCAACAAGCTGCTTCCGGGAGGACTGCGAGCCAAAGGCGGGGCTGCGGTTCAAGCCACAAAGCTCAAGCGCAGTTTGTTACACAGTAAATGTAGCCCATCCACTTGTGTGATCAGATCCACCGCTGTGCTGCCTACACCCTAGAAGGGACATAAAGGGACCCATCTGTGTTCCTCCAGCAAATCAGTCACAAGAGCAGAACCAGCAGAATGGAAAAACTTTCCAAGAGGGGATTTATAGAGTGGGCTTTCCAAAAGAGGTGGGGACCCCAATAAGGAAACCAGGGGCTGCTCAGTCCAAGGTGCTGGAAGCCTCGGGACAAAAAGGACCACGTAGGTAGCCCCAGCCCGAGGCGTGGCCGGCAAGAGTTAAAGTACAAAAGCCCAGGAAGCTGGTCTGAGATCCACAAACAATGGCGGGGCTCCAGGAGGACTAAAATTCTGCACATGCGCCAGGAGCTTCCTCCTTGGCCTATTGGACAGAGCCCTCCACATTGAGGGCGGGCCTTCCCTGTCGGTTGGCTGGCCTACATGGCAATCATCCCTCTTCAGTCTTTCTGTCCAGAACATTGAGATGAAGGAAAGGAAGGAAGGGAGGAAGGAAAAGAAAGACAGAAAAAAGAAAGGACGGAAGGAAAGGAAAATCAAGTTTGGCATCTCTATATCTAACTGTTAAATATTAGGTGGACAAGAGAGAGAAGGGGGCAGAAGAAGAGAAAAAAGAAGGAAGGGAGGGAGAGAGGAAAGGGTTCAGGCTGGGTCTCTGTGCCCTCCGGCAGCTGCAGGAGTTGAAGACGGGGAGGGTAGGAGCGAGAGA